ACAAAAAAAAAAAAAAAAAAAAAAAAAAAAAAAAAAAAAAAAAAAGAAACTTGGCCAGGAGTGGTGGCTCATGCTGTAATCCCAGCATTTTGGGAGGCCAAGAGTTCGAGACCAGCCTGGCCAACATAATGAAATCCCTCTACTGAAAATACCAAAATTAGCCGGGCATGGTTGCAATGCCTGTAATCCCAGGTACTTGGGAGGCTGAGGCAGAAGAATTGCTTGAACCCAGGAGGCAGAGGCTACAGTGAGCCAAGATCACACCACTGCACTCCAGTCTGGGCAAGAGTGAGACTGTCTCAAAACATGTGCGTGTGTAACTCAAATGACGATACAATAAAAAACCACCATTAAAAATGAGTAAAAGGTTTATTTTTGAGACAGAGTCTTGCTCTGTCACCCAGGCTAGAGTGCAGTGGCGTGATATTGGCTCACTGTAACAGTGAGAAAGCTGTAGCCATAACACAGGAAAAAAAAAAAGGGCTGTGATTGTTGGAATGCATATAATGAGAAACAAAGCTGAAAATAATTAGAAAATAAAATAACCAGAATTTCTCTTTAAATTCAGCATGACTGAGCTTTGCCACCTGGAAATAATGTACACACCACATGAAGAATCAATGTTACTGTTTTACCACTGATACATTTCATTTCTGACTTGAAGTTACAAAGTAACTTCAGGAAGAACAGTTATGTCTTACCATGGAACATCTGTTACACAGCAAGCACTGTCATGTTTTTCTGCTATGTTTATATATAAAAGTATCCGCATGACTTATGATGCCTCCATAGTACTTACCTGACTCAACAAATTGGTGCAATCAATAAATTGATTAATGTCAATTATGAAAAGTAAAATAAACAACTTTTAAAAAGTAGGGTTACATAAGGTTCTCCAATTAAAAAAACAAGAATGTTTTAACCAAATAAAACTTAATACACTAATAGTAAAATTACACCTAAAAATTTTGTGCACTACTAAATTTTATAAAAATCACTGTTATAATCCCTGACCAACTCATAATACTTCATAAACTGTTTAAAAGAAATTATAAGAATAAAGAAATACGTGGCTGTACCAAGAGTACCAGGCAAGTAAAAACATTTGCATGGGGAGATTCTGAACTATAAGCCATAATATTTTACAGTAATGAATTCAATACAAAGCAGACAGTCTAGATTTGTTTTTAGCATTTGAGGTTTTTTGTTTTCTAGTAAATTAGTCACCTTATTTAAATGATTTGTTTTATTCTAATATTGCTCTTTTCTTCTGCAAATAGGTACAGATACACAAGTACACTTTACAATTTTCCTACAGCTAAAGGTTATCTTTCAAGCAATATATATGTACATTTACCTCTATGTAAATCAAAACTAAAAGTCCTTACGTATTTGCAGGCAGAGACACCACATGTTAAAAGAAAAATATATAACAATTTTTTTTAAAGTATTCAGGACTCAGAAATTTATTTTACTTTAACAATTTTTATTATGACCCTAAAGATAACCCTGTAGGCAGCAACAATTTAGTTATACATTTAAAAATGACTGAAAGTATAGAATTGAATAGTTGAAAATACAAAGGATAAATGCTAGTAATGGATATTGCATTTACCCTGATGCAATTATTGCATATTGCCTATATCAAAACATGCCATATATGGCATAAATGTAAAAACATACTATGTACTCATGAAAAATAATAAATTTAAACAAAAAATAAAAAATATAAAACCTATAATATTCCTTAACTTATTTGCAGTTTAAAGCCACTGGCAAAAAAGATTACTAAAGATGTTAGTCCACTATGTAACCAAATAGTATATTGCTGTCATCACCTTTTACCTACACTATTAAGGTGGGATAGGTGAATGTTTGTGGCATAATTCTTCATTGAATGCACAATAGTCTTAAAGTTAAAATATGTTTAAAAATGAAAGTTCATACATACTCTAAAATTCTGAAATGTACTGCATTTTACTACAGAAAAGTAAAATTAGTAAAATGATATACTAATTTCTAAAAATTAAGAATTTTTTTCACTATTAATGCAGAATATTACTCTGAACACCTACCTCATGCATGACTCAATATCAGTTAACCAGAAGAGCCTCTCCACTTAGATTTCATTATGTGTCTTTCACTTTAATGTTCTTACTCTTCCAGAGAAAAGGTAATAATGCCCACCTAAAAAAAAAACTCTCATATCTTTGATACAGCAACAGTTGATCCCATTCTTTCACATGTGAATAGAAATGAAAACACGAATTTGAGAGTTGAATTACATTGTTATTCACTTTTCAAAAAACCTGTAATTTCTTTGAAATAAAAGTGTACTTTGAATGTAAATACACCACTGCAAAAAATTTTTTCACTTCTATTAATCTACCAACTTTCATTTTGGATAATTTTCTGTACTCAGCACTCTGTGTAATTTCTGAAGTGTCAGTATCTTAGATATCTGTACTATGAATTCTCTGATATTTACATAAACTGAATTTTGCATCTTTTTTTCATATTTACTGTATTTGCAAAAAATATATATATTTTTATATAATCCCTCTGGTGTTTTCTTTTTTTTTGAGATGGAGTTTCACTCATGTTACCCAGGCTGGAGTGCAACGGCGCGATCTCGGCTCACCGCAACCTCCGCCTCCTGGGTTCAGGCAATTCTCCTGCCTCAGCCTCCTGAGTAGCTGGGATTACAGGCACGCACCACCATGCCCAGCTAATGTTTTGTATTTTTAGTAGAGACGGGGTTTCACCATGTTGACCAGGATGGTCTCGATCTCTTGGCCTCATGATCCACCCGCCTCAGCCTCCCAAAGTGCTGGGATTACAGGCTTGAGCCACCGCGCCCGGCCCCCTCTGGTGTTTTCTAAGCTGTAGTTCTTGGAAAAAAATTTTTCCAAAATTAATTACAGTCATAGGGTTTTTCTCAAATAGAAATTTCCTGGTACTGAACAAAGTTTGAACTGTTGCTTTAGGGTGTTTCTCTAGTACACAATGTGCACAATAAGATCTGTGATACATGTAAAGGTACTACAAACCTCTATTTTTAATGTTTCTCTTCAAAATAAATAGTCTGCTTCACTTTACAGGCTTGTATTTTCCGGAAGATCTTTTATCAGTAATTGCATTGATAATGCTTTTATTAAGTACCAACTCTCTGATGTTAAGATGTGAGCAGATATTAATGACTTTTCCACATTCTTTGTATTTATACAATTTTTCTCAAGTATAAATGCTTTCCTGTGCAATATGGTGCGATAATTAAATATTTGCCACATTCATCACACTTGTAGTTGGCTTCTCCAGTATGAATTATCTTACCTACAACCAAGTGTGACAACTGCTTAAAGGCTTTGTCACAGTCTTCACATTTCTAGGATTTCTCAACAGTATGATTTCTTTTATGTCTAGAAAAGTTTGAGGTGTTGTCAAAAGCACTCTCACGTCTTTTAGGTTTGTAGTGTTTCTCTCCAGTATGAATTTTCTTATGACGAGTAAGGTTTGAGGATCTGTTAAAAGCTTTGCCACATTCTTCACATTTGTAGGGTCTTTCTCCAGTATGAATTCTCTTATGTTTTGTAAGAGTTGAGGACCAGTTAAAAGCTCTGCTACATTCGTCACATTTGTAGGGTTTCTCTCCAGTATGTACTCTCTTATGTTCCGTAAGGGTTGAGAACGCCCTAAAGGCACTGCCACATTCTTCACATTTGTAAGGTTTTGCTCCAGTATGAATTATCTTATGTTTAGTAAGGGTTGACAATACACTAAAGGCTTTGCCACATTCTTCACATTTGTATGGTTTCTCCTTAGTATAAATCCTCTTATGTTTAGTAAGAGTTGTGGACCGTTTAAAGGCTTTACCACATTCTTCACATTTGTATGGTTTCTCTCCAGTATGAACTATCTTATGTCTAGTAAGCGTTGAAGACTGGTTAAAAGCTTTGCCACATTCTTCACATTTGTATGGTTTCTCTCCAGTATGAATTCTTTTATGTTTTGTAAGAGTTGAGGACCAGTTGAAGGCTTTACCACATTCATTGCATTTGTAGGGTTTCTCCCCAGTATGAATAATCTTATGTTTCGTAAGGGTTGAGAACAGACTAAAGCCTTTGCCACATTCATCACATTTGTAGGGTTTCGTTCCTGTATGAATTATCTGATGTTTGGTAAGGACTGAAAATACACTAAAGACTTTATCACATTCTTCACATTTGTAAAGTTTCTCTTCAGTATGAATTTTTTTATGTTTAGTAAGAGTTAAGAACCGGTTAAAAGCTTTGCCACATTCTTCACACTTGTAGGGATTCACTTCAGTATGAATTATCTTATGCTTAGTAAGATTTGAGGACTGGTTAAAGATTTTGTCACCGGTCTTACATTTATAGAAATTCACTCTAGTAGCAATTTTTTTATGCTGAATTAGTTGTGAAGGTATGCAACGTGATTTGCCACATTCTTTACAACATTTGAGAGGTTTCTTTCCAGTATGTCTTCTCTTTTGTCTACTTGAATTTGGGAATTTATGAAAGAATTTCACATATTTATCACATTGAAATTTTTTGCTCTGGGAAATTGTGAAACATTGGTTAAGTCCATTATAACCTCTTTTGTGCACCTTATGTTCATCCACACTTTTGCAGCCCTTTCTTAATTGTAAATTCTCATGTCCACATTTTCGATAACTTCTCAGTATCACTTTTTGTAAAGACTCTTTTATGCCCTGCTTTGGCCAAAGGTCTTGAGAACACACAACTGAAAGAAATAAAAGTAACAATTACTTCACTTACTAGACTCAGATGAATAATCTTTACAAATCTAACCTATAAAAATATACAAACTACATGAGCAAGATGGCATAGCGAAATACCACAGTCCCTAATTCCTTCACAGACATATCAATGTAATAAAAAGGTGGAGGTTGCGGTGAGCCGAGATCACGCCATTGCACTCCAGCCTGGGTAACGAGCAAAATTCCATCTCAAAAAAACATATTGATAAAGATACATTTGTGGAAAATTTGTAAGTGAGTTAAGTGTGTGCGGTGCTCCAGGTGAGCACAATGCAAAGAGCCACATAGAAGGAAAAGAGCTACATAGAAGAGAAAGAAAAGTCTGTGGCATTTACCCAACACAGCACTTCCTGCTCCCCAATATCACATAGTAATATGGCCTTTGGAAGTAAACTGCCAACTCTTCATTTCTTTTTGAAAAGACAAAAAAAAAAAAAATAGTGGCACACACACATTTATTTCTGATTTCTAGGGGCCTTTACAGACACTGGTTTCTGTCTCTCATGACATAAAATGCTAAAAGAAATGTTGATATACTATGGAAAGACAGTTTGAGTCAGCCGATACCAAAGATAACTGTTGCAGCAGCAGAGAAATTGCAGTACCACAGACGGGGAACAGGTGTAGCAAGTGATAACTGACTACTAAGAAACATGAACAAACTCCTTTAACTAAAAAACCCAAACATTTTCAGAAAAGACACACTTTAAGAACATGTTTGAGATATTAACAAAATCTCTAGCCAAAATAGTTGGACTATGCCAAGGCAAAGCTACATCATAAAAACTGTGATGGGTAGCTTGCTTTTAATGTCTAAATCTCAATAAAAAATTACAATGCAAGGACAGGCATTGTGGCTCATACCTGTAATCCCAGCACTTTGGCAGGCCAAGGTGGGTAGATCACTTGAGGTCAGGAGTTTGAGACCAGCCTGGCCAACATGGTGAAACCCCATCTTTGAAAAAAAAAAAATTATAATGCATACAAAATATTAGGACAACATGGCCTCATCAAAATTTTTTAAAATTTTCTCAAAGAACTATTAAACAATGAAGCTGTAAAATTGTAAAAATTTAAAATAAATTGAATGAGTTAAATAGGAACTCAGACAACTACTGATAATCAGAAAAATGAGGATAACAACACAAGCATTAAAAATGTCAAAAATAGTAACTGTGAAGGTAAAATTACAAAAAACTAGCTAAAAAGTTTTAAAAGGAAAAAATGATGTAAAATTGAAGATGTTCTACAAACAAACTAGGATACACACGAAGATATAACACACATATATAAGCACGATTTCAACAGTCACAGACAAGAAGAGAATTTTGGGAGCTGCAAGATGAAAGTGATGTGTCATTTACAAGCACAGTCTTATAACAAAACCAGTGAATATATCAAGAAAATTTTGCAGGCCAGAAAAAAACTGTATGATATAGTCAAAGTCCTAAAAATAAATAAATAAATAAATAAAATAAAAATAGCTGTCAAGTGAGAATAATATCATCAGCAAAACTTTCCTACAAGATAAAAAGGAAAAGATCTTCCAAAATAACCAACTCCTGAAAAAGTATATTGGCACTGCATATGCCCTACATGTCAAAGATGATGAAAGGAGTTATTTCCACTGAAAATTACATGATGCAAGAAAACAAGACATAATCATCATATGAAAATACATAACTTTCTGGGAAAGATACATACCATAATGGTGCAGTAAACATTTTTAATTATATTCTAAAATTTGCATGATGAAAGCACAGAATTATTGTAAACAACTACTAATGGATAGATAACATAAAAAGATATGATTAGTACCATCAATAACAATGTTGAGGGCACATGAAATGAGGAAAAAACTTCGTATGTGGCCAGGAGTTTTTTGTTTGATTCTTTGAGACAGAGTTTTGCTCTTGTCACCCAGGATGGTGGGTGGTGAGTTGATTTGGCTCACTGCAATCTCTGCATCCTGGGCTCAAGCAATTCTCATGTCTCAGCCCCCAGAGAAGCTAGGATTACAGGCATGCACCACTACAACTGGCTAATGTTTTGTATTTTTAGTAGAGACAGGGTTTCACCATGTTGGACAAGCTGGTCTCAAACTCCTGACCTCATGTAATCCACCTGCCTTGACCTCCCAAAGTGGTGGGATTACAGACATGAGCCACCATGCCCGGCCTGTTATTTGTTTTTGACAAGTAAAATTAAACAGTAATACTAAAAGGAAAACAGAGCAATAAAAGTTTTCAAATTATCTTTAAATCCAAAAGCATTTCTCTCACACAAAAATAATATAGATTCACCAATAAACAGATGTAGAAATTAGAAAAATTTTATGACTACTCACTTAGAATTAAAACAAACCGCCGGGCGCGGTGGCTCAAGCCTGTAATCCCAGCACTTTGGGAGGCCGAGGCGGGTGGATCACAAGGTCAAGAGATCGAGACCATCCTGGTCAACATGGTAAAACCCCGTCTCTACTAAAAATACAAAAAATTAGCTGGGCATGGTGGTGCGTGCCTGTAATCCCAGCTACTCAGGAGGCTGAGGCAGGAGAATTGCCTGAACCCAGGAGGCGGAGGTTGCGGTGAGCCGAGATCGCGCCATTGCACTCCAGCCTGGGTAACAAGAGTGAAACTCCGTCTCAAAGAAAAAAAAAAAAAGAATTAAACCTACAAAACAAACATACAACTCATTAAAACATATGGCAATATTTATACAGAAAAAAAATAGAGATAATACTGGAAACAGAGATATGGCTGGTTTATATTTCATTTTTCTCCACACTGTCTTAAATTGCAGAGTTAAATATTTTAATACACAATTATAATATAGACTAAAAAATTACAATACAATTAACTGGTGTGACAAGGCATACCCTAAAATATGTAACACAAAAATATAACGTTTCAAAATGAAATTAAAACATGGAATAGAAAACTTACTTGATATAATCAAATACATCAATATATTCATGACGGGATTCTTAGAAGAAGAATAAATGAAAAAATAGACAGGTTATGTGAAGATAAAAAAGGCTGCTAGTTCATCAAATTTTGATGAACTATAAATAAAATATATTTTATTTTATTATAAATAAAAAATATTCTGGCCTAGCGTGGTGGCTCACACCTGTAATCCCAGCACTTTGGGATGCCAAGAACGGCAGATCACATGAGGTCAGGAGTTCAAAACCAGCCTGGCCAACATGGTGAAACCCTGTCTCTACTAAAAATAAAAAAAATAGCCAGGTATGGTGGTGCATACCTGTAATCCCAGCTACTCGGGAGGCTGAAGCAGGAGAATCGCTTGAACTCAAGAGGTGGAGGTCGCAGTGAGCGGAAATCATGTCAGTGTACTCCCATCTGGGTGACAGAGCAACACTCCATCTCAAATATATATATATATGTGTGTGTGTGTGTGTGTGTGTATATATATATATATATATATTTCTAACCAATTATATTTGATTTGAAATTATTTTCCTTTAAAAACAAGATAAAAATATTTTCCAATATCATAGTTGAAGATATCCAGCAAAACCAGTACAGTCCTACAAAAAAATGCTATGTGATGTCCATGCACAGTAGGTTGTGCCTGTAATTCTACAGCATTAAGAGGCAAAGGGAGTCAGATCACTTGAGACCAGAAATTCAAGATTAGCCTGAGCAACACAGTGAGACTCTGCATATGAAAAAAAAAGTCCGCTGCAGTGGCTCACACCTGTAACCCCAGAACTTTGGGAGGCCAAGGCAGGTGGATCTTGAGGTCAGGAGATTGAGACCATCATGGCTAACATGGTGAAACCCTGTCTCTACTAAAAATACAAAACATTAACCAGGCTTGGTAGCATGTGCCTATAGTCCCAGCTACTCAGGAGGCTGACGCAGGAGAATCGCTTGAACCCAGGAGGCGGAGGTTGCAGTGAGCCAAGATTGCACCACTGCACTTGGGCGAAGGAGCAAGATTGTCTCACAAAAAAAGAAAAAACAAAATTCTGAAATGAGTCCATTATTTTAAAAGAAAAAAAAAAAATGCTGGATAGCATCATAAAACCATCGCTATTAAATATATTAAGTATAAAGCTCTCTATTCAATGTAAATATACAAATACACATAGAATTCTTTATTATCAAGGTGATGGTGCAAAAAACCCTTCAAGTTTTATGGAATATGAAAACCAAAATATAAAATCTGCATAAATCTGTTAATAGACACATAATATAACATTATTACTATTTTGAGACGGAGTTTTGCTCGTTGCCCAGGTTGGAGTTGGGGGCAACAAGGTGGGGGTCTAGGCTTACCACAAACTCTGCCTCCAGGGTTCAAGCGATTCTCCCGTCTCAGCCACCTGAGTAGCTGGGATTACCGGCATGCAATACCATGCCCGGCTAATTTTGTATTTTTAGTAGAGACAGGGTTTCTCCATGTTGGTCAGGCTGGTCTTCAACTCTCAACTTCAGGTGATCTGCCCGCCTCGGCCTCCCAAAGTGCTGGGATTACAGGCATAAGCCACCACGCCTGTCAAAAATAATATAATTTTTAATATCAATACCAAACTAGAAAATACTGAGGTATAGCTTTTGTATTCAATTTGTTGTTATGACATTAAAATATATGTTTTCACTTTAAGATGTGGTATGTTATATCCATTTTTCAAGATGATTACAAAGATGATATTTATAGAAAGTATGCAAAACATAATAAGAAAATTAAAGCATGTCACTAAAATAGTAAAACAAAAATTAGGGTAGTAGAGCAAGAAATGAGAAAAACGTATCTACAGGGAAAATGTAGCACATATACACCATGGAATACTATGCAGCCATCAAAAACGATGAGTTCGTGTCCTTTGTAGGGACATGGATGAACCTGGAAACCATCATTCTCAGCAAACTGACACAAGAACAGAAAATCAAACACCGCATGTTCTCACTCATAGGTGAGTGTTGAACAATGA